TCAGATCTGTAACCCTCGGTGAGCAATCTGTGTGCACGGAATACTTAAAAGCTACTACTAGGAACTTTCATTTTGTGTTGATTTTTGGCGGGTCGCCAGTGTTTCCGAGCACCAGACTCCCTTCAGAAAACCTCATTTTACTGCAGCAGGGTCCGTCAGTCTGACTTCAAAGTTTCTCACAGTAACTTTAAGTTGTTTTTTTATTCTAGTATTCCTATTTTTACATAAATGTATGATCTGGCTTCTTCTACCACAGAGAACAGAGTAAAGTCCAGGCCATCAACACTTATTATTAATGACACTGCTGTAGACACAAGTTATTTTCAGCTCCAGCTCTGATCCGCAGTGATGGGAACGTTCATTTTCAGCCGCTTTCCAACGCAATGTTATTTGGCGCGCGTTGAAGTGTATGTATAATAAATAAAGCCATCAGGGATTAGGAGAATTATTAACATTTATTAACATATGCTGTCCCGAAAGCCACCATAGTCCAGTCAGACAACAGGAATTTTATGTCGCTGCCGTAAAAAAAACCTTCATTCAAACGTGACATCAGACTTAACACACCAGAATTAAAGAATAAAGGCATTATCTTCCACTGGCAATGGAAAAGTAGTCTGTTGGCTATTTTGAGCGGGTTTTCCCGTGTTTAATTAACCCACATATACACGATCATTTTGCTGGGAGAAAGATATAAATGTATTCTTTAGTACCACAGACTCATTATAAGTTCCCTTTGGAAATATCATTTAGCACAGTAAGGACGTATTTAATTTCCTGCCATAAATATTCACGGAACGTCGTGTCATTATAGAAGCAATTAGCACGGATTACACATCAAGTGTTTTTTTTCTACCATGTGACTCCAGAGGGGCGACCTACAAATCGTCAAATGCTGGATTTGCAAAACTCAACAATCATGTGTGTTGTTTAAAACATTAAGAGTGAGCTGAGGTGTCTTTCCTTTAACCCAATAGTGCCATAACAAAATCAGGCATTGTAACCCGGCCATTGACTACTGTTGATAAGAATAAGAAGATACACAGTCTCACCTTATCTATAGAAATAATTCAACCGAACCCGAAAAGCTTCACAAATTGTTACGTTTCTATAACAGCTGATCAAATCGCTGTGTGTGATGTGAAGGGTGTCTGTCCTAGTGATAAATCGCAGAGAATTATCACCGACTCTGCAGTTTCCCTCAGTTCCATCCGGAGATTTTAGTGTCTTTTTAGTGTCTCTCCCTGTCTCCTAGAAATGATGTCCGTATGAATGAGGTGCTACATTTATGTAACGAGCGGGGACGTGGTCAGGGCAGGATGATGGAGGGCATATAAAGCGCAGGAGACCGGGTTTTCACGCGTCCTGACTCCTGCACTGAGGTTTAGGCAACAAAAGCACTGTGGTTAAGATTGTGTGTTTAGTTAAATGTTAATTTGTGCTCAAGTCACTGCAGGCTTTTTGTCCAGTAAACCAAGATCCATAGCAATAACCAAGTGCAGTGAGTGTTTTGCCTATAACGCATTTGGTAAACGTATGAAATATCTTGTCAGTGAATGTTTTACTGCCGTAACATTTTAAAGGAATGCTCCAGCGTCAGACTCACGAAGGACAGTTGAATTGGGATCAAAGCAGCGGAAACACCGATTGTTTGTTTTTTGTATTCCACGCATACTGTCAAAAACTGTCGCCCACATGACCCACAGTGCAACCAGATTCAGATGTGTTGTGCAAGTAGGCTTATGTAGCCGTGAGCCTCCAGCCTGCAGCAGAGATGACTAACTCCACAACCCCAGATTTTTTTTTAATCATCAAACTTGTAGTCTTTAGCCCTAACTGACGCAGACTCAAGTGACATCACTTGAGGATATTTATCAGACTTGACCCAGCATCCTCTGGAGACAATACAGGCTTTATACTAGGATGCAGTACTTTGCAGGAATAATGATTAAAAATGACAAAGAAAGTGTCGTAATTGAAAGGTGAGTGGCGGCATTAAACCTTTGCGGAGCCTGTTGGAGAGTTTTATCAACAGCACGGGCTAAAAACTCCCAACGATCACATTTTCCCAGCAAGCGTTTCACTTCTCCATCATGAAATGCACTCGGCAAGATGGTGAGTGGAACGTTGTTATGTTTCTTAAACCTAACCAATCGTTTGACAATGGTAACCACATGGCATTGTGCGTTTCTCTAAGCGTGATGCGAGACACGTATCTCGTGATTTGCACACACGTTCAGCGGCAACTCTTTTTCTGGCGTCTGGGTCGGAACTACAATAACGCCTGAAATGTTTTAACTTCACATAGTTTTAACTTAATAATCAAGCAAAACTACGAATCATCACATTGTAATGTTGTCAAAATTTCAGCCACATTTCCCCAGTTTCTACAAGCGTTGTTTCAAACGATGTTTTAACTCCATAGTCGACTAACTCGCAGCAGGTTTTAGACTTGAACCAACACATCCCCACTGTACATGTGCACACGTATACATTAGTCAGCCGCAATTAGCAGACACTCGCAGTAACGACCTCATGCAATTACAGTGTGTGCATCTCAGATTGATTCTCACACAGGTTGTTCTGTAGAGTACACGACCACCTCGTTTCCCTCTCGCGAAGAGGCCCTCGTCTGAAATTGGAACCGAGCCCCACGTCTGAGCAGGTGCGCGCGAGCTGCGAAGGCCTCTCGACTGAAGACGTGCTATTAACCCATTTCACATGAGGAGTCTCCTTTCTAATTTTGAGCGATCCTCAGTGGAGGCGGTTAGCCTCGAGAGCTTCGCTGTAGAGCCACTCAGCCGGAGATCAAAGAGCCCCCCCCCCCACACACACACACACACACACCTACCAACAACTGGATTAATGGGCCGCTCTCAGTGCGATTACTCCCCACACACACACACTCAGATGTGCACGCAGCGCCCTGCACGTCAAGTGGCTTTCTTCGTCTTGTTTTGAAAGGATTAGCCCCCCCACCCCGCTCCCACCCACCGACACTTTGACGGAAAAACAAAAATAGGGGACGAGACCACATCCGTGTCATTCAGCTCAGATCGTCTCAACCTTGACAAAGTGTGGCTGGAATTAGTTGGGGAGGCGAATGAGGTGGGTATGAGGAGAAAGGGAAATGTGGAACATACATCATCCCTAATGTGGCGATATATTATACAGCGGTATTTTGTAATGGCGTGTATTCAGAGTGTCAATGGCTCTGTTGAAGTGACAGGAGTTATCCCGCAAAATTATGGCTCCAATCATGATCCCTGCCATCAGTAAAGCCTCACTCTAATATCACTAATGGCCAGTATGGTAATTGTAGCACATTAAATGTCTAAGGACCCACATGATGTCTGTAGAAAATTTACGACAATGTTTTTGGTTTATGGCATTTACACACGTTCCTGTCCAACTTTAGTCATTTCCATAATTGTGTTCGACACACTGACTTAATGCGATGCATTAGGGAACGGCACAAACAGATACTGTGTATCTATTAAAAAGCTTAACTGCTTGTTTCTTGATGTGCCCGCGCTGCTGTGAGTTCAGCATTCACACATAAAAGCCGGATCAGGTGAATAATTTATGATTCTCATCCCTCTCTGGGTCTGATCTGAAATATATATTTAAAAAAAAAAAAACACATTCCATGGCTGCAGTAAAATGCAGATTCAGGCCTAAATTGTGCATTGGTGAAATGTGAATGCGGAGTTGCATAACCTGATAGTGTCTCTGCAGTTAGCTGTAAACTCGCTCATCCGCTGGTGTTCCCCGGCACAGGAAGAGCCCAGCCAAGTTGTCTTTCGCACGACGGCTTCAATCTGCTGCGGGATGGCTGAATAATTCAAAGTTCTTTCACAGGACCATCTGGCAGCCCAAAGCGGGCGCGCGAGACACCCGTCATCCTCAGACAGCGTTTGTAAAGAGAGTGTATGGGATGCAGCAGCAGGACCCCTGCACAGGCTTGCAGGATTGAGCTGCTTACCAGGAAGCTGAAATGTGCTGTGTCAGACTGATGTCTTCTTTGGGAGGATATAGGCAAACAGAGAGTGAGCTCAAATGTTGTTGATGTGACATAAAGTCCCTTTCACTCCACGCTCGGGCTGAATATCAGCTGGAATGACAAATCTCCCGCTGTCTCTTATACATAGACACACACACACACACACACACACACACACACACACACACACACACGGATGGATTACTGAACAGGCTTACAGGGCACAGGCCCAGGGTCCCACAGTGTCAGGGGCCACTCTGGCCTTCACCTACAAGATGTCACTCGAAGACAACCAGAAAGAGACTCACAAAAAACATAAAATAACTACAAAGAGACACAAAATGACTACAAAGAAACAAGAATAACTACAGAAAGACCAAACCAACTCAAAAGAGACTCAAAACAACGGAGAGATGCATAATGACGACAAAAAGATACAAAAGAACAACAAAATGAGGCTAAACGACTATAAAGTCTGTCTCTCTTGATCCCTTTTAGGCGAGGTGGTGGGACCGTTTGCTGGTCTGAGCCCAGTGGCCGTTGCCGTCATGTGGCTTTCCTCTAATCTTTACTTTGTCATTACTGGATCTTTTTTAGCTCTTTGGGGCCTCCAAAAACTATTTCTTTCTTCTGCTCTATTTTTTCAAAATTCAGCAACCAGGCTTTTAACTATAAATAAGACACAGTTTGAAAATGATTTTGAAGATCTTTTCATCCGCTCATATCAAGATACATATGATCTGTCTTCGAATGTAAAATGTATTTGTTTGCAGCCCACCCCTCCATAAATGTCTTCATAGGAGATCTGCATGGAGACTGTTACCCCTGATGTACTTTTAGGAACTTTTAAACGCTCTCACACTGAGCTGATCATCTTTGCGCATCCGCCCTCCCCCTCCCTCCCTCCCCCTCCTCCTCCTCCACCACCTCCTTCAGGAAAACGCCCCAGCTCTCCCCGTGCAGCGTCCTCCTCCTCCTCCTCCTCCCGCAGCAGCACTACAGCAGTAACACAGCGAGTTCCGCGCGTCTCTACCGCCACACTGATCAACTGGGGTGCTGGAGGAGGGCGCTCATTGCGTAAGTGGACTCCCTGTTTACCTTAACGTCACTGTGAAACGAGAGGAAGACTAAAAAAGGGGGGCAACAACCTCGTCGCGACCCCGGGACGCGTATTTTTCTTTCCGCGTACTCTTTGCGCACCTGGCTGTCCGAGCGCGCACGCAGAGCGGAACATCCGATTTTGGAGCGCCTCCTTCACTTACCCCACGCACACACGCACAAACACCTGCCTCCACTTTGTCCCGTTTAATCTGAAGTAACGCGCCTCCGAGCCGAGGGACATACGGAGAGGCTTTCTGACCTCCGCTGCATCCCGGCTGGTCCTTCTACCGAGCGTCTGGCTGGAAGGGTAACCGCCGTGTCCCGAGGAGGATGCTGAACAGGTAAACGACTCATCTTTTTCTAGTAGTTTTCCAGTTGTTTTCTGGTCGAAGTATTAGCAAAAAAAAAAAAATAATGCTCTGCAATCAAAAGTCAAGAGGCTGGAAAAAAAGATTCCTTTCATATCCACATAGCGTCCCGGTGGTACGTGATGACTTTATAGTGACCTTAACGCACTTATTGTACCATAAATTCAGTGTAACATTCCTGCAGAGAGACCAGTGAGAGATGCTGTTTCTATTCATGCAGTTTCATTGGCAAAGTATTTTCAATTATTATTCTTTCACACCAATGATTGCAACTACAGCACAACCAACTTGAGTGCCCTGCAGGATTTCTCTATGATGATCAAACGTCATGCATTTTACAAAGACAAAAACAAGCTTATTATAAAATGTGCATATCTATGCATGATGCATCAAGAATAGTTTCCCTGTCGTGAACTTCCCTTCCAGTTTATTTTTCTGATTTCTGCGTCGTGTTTTAACACTTTTCCCTGACGCAGTACCTCTCAGACTCCCCCATTGTTGGTGTGTCACAAGGTGGAGAGGTTGAGTTCAAAGCGAGGGGTCCAGTTAACACACTCAGCGCCTTCAACATCTCGTCTCCCCCCCCCCCCCCCCCCCCCTTTGTGTCCGTGCACGATCAGTCTCGTTTGTTACTGTCTCGGGCAACAGGTGCCTTTCTTCAGTGCTGCTGCTTGTCATCATTGCTCTGCATTAAGTCTCTAATGGGGCTTTTTGTTATTGGTTAAGCGCCTAAAGCTCTGTGGCAGCCTGCATGTGAGAATGAAGAGCGGAGAGACAGCGGGGCAAAAGTGCAGCGCGATGAGCGATGTTTGGTGTGTCGGGGTGGTTTAATAACGGCAGAATGAGGCTGCTGCTTATGTAAGCCCCCACCAGATACTCGGTAGTCTCAGCACTGCAATGTATCCGTCTGCCATATTTCAGGCCTCAGCATGCATCGCTTGCACCGCTGGGCTCCACACTAGTCGACAGCTCTTTGAGTGCTCTGAATGAAAAGTATCAACGGGGGAATAAAGCCTTGGATTCAGGAAGTAGCATCAGTTTACTTGCACCTTTACAGTCACTTTGTAATCTGAGACTCTTCTTCCCTTTTTTTAAAAAGGACGGCATCGGATGTTTGGACAAACGATGTCTGTAAAAGGCATATGTGTCCAGACCAGCGACCCCTTGAGGTCAGGTGAATGACGACTCATGCATCTAGGAAGCAATCGCGGAAGTAATGCGACATTGTTGTGGCCCTCTGTTTTCTTTGAGTGACCGTGATCTTTCCCCAACCTTAATCAAGTTGTTTCCATGTTCTCAATCGAATCAAACCTTTATCCTAGAGGTAGCAGTTACACTCGTTTTTGTAGACGTCATGTGAGTTTTTAAAGACCAAGGTTGCTGCCTGAATTCCAGAAATACAAAGGTTACTTTGTTGGGTTTTTTTTAGCTGAAAAGAACCATTTAAAGCAGGAAATTATGGTACTGTCAAAAAAGTGCTACATTTTTATGGCATTAGCATCTGAAGGGGTGCAGTCCCCCTGTTGGCCAGAGCAATACAAAACTATACAAAACAATTTTTCACATTTTCTGGTTGGGTTCACGGTTACTGCGGTTCAAGTGTACATGGAGTTAATTTAATGAATAAACAGAAGTTTCTTCTTTAATATCCTCTGTAGTCGGCTAAAAGTGAAAAGGAGACACTCAACAGGATGAAACACAATTGGCCACAGGAGAGTAGCAATAAAGGATATCATATAAATTCACTTGTAAATAGTCCAAAAACAACCACATTATCATGTGCAGTTTGTACACTGACTCTCTGTGGACTTATGTGAGCACAGAGCAAGAACTTACAGTCTGCAGCTGAGCCTTACTTTGTATAGGTTTAAATGTTCTTGATCAAATCAAGAATATTATAAACCAAAAATAGAATATATCAAATCAAGATGATAAGATATGAAACAAATTAAAGCATACATTTTCCACATTAAATACTTTTCTACTGCTATTTACTTCTTTAAAGGGGACGTATTATAATAAAATACTTTTTCAGTGCTTTTGCACATGCATTTGGGTATCTGGAGCTCCTACGAACCCACAAACTGTGAAATAAGACAACCCAGTACGTTTTTTGTGGGCTGTCTAGATAAAACAACAACATGTGAGTCAACAAGATGTTCAGATTTGGCTCCCTTTATGTCACATGCAGGCTCATTAACTACCATTGAAAAAGGGGCACCGTATTTGTCTCGCAAGCCAATCAGAGCTTTTTTTTGGAGTGGGTCTTTAAGAGACAGGCGCTAAAACGAAGCGTTTCAGACGGAGGGTGAATACAGGTATATTCAGACAGACAGTATAAGAAAAATAAAGTGTTTTTTGAACATTTAAGAATGTAAGCATGTTCTAGTAGAAACCCGATATACAATTATGACCTTTGAATTGAGAGTGATATGTCCCCTTTAAATTAGCCTAAATGACACAGTTAAGACTTATTCTATTTCTCCCTTACTCCTTTTTCCTTCATTTCATCATTTAATTATATAGCTTGCATGTTTATGTCCCCTTTAAGAATAGCTGCTAACAAATTAATATAATTGGTGTAACTTTAAATGGTGTGGGTGGAAATCAATTTCAACAATAAATATTTTGAAATGTGAAGTAAAAAGAAAGAATTTGACAAAGTTGTCACGGTTAATCCCCTCGGCAATCTTTCACCTCCTCCTAAAGGCATTTTCCCCATCACCTCGCCGTGGCACTCCACGCATCACAGCCCTTGATCAAGGATCTCATCATGGGGGATTACGGTAGATGTGTTCCTGGAGGTGTAATTCGAGCTATCAGAGGTCATGATGCGGCAGCCAGGACAGCATATTGTCCTATTCATCTTAATGACTCCTGTGGGCAGGGCTGCGGGTGGACATTGAAGAAGGGCCTGAAAACGCTCTCCGGTGACCTTCTGCGACTAACAAATGGAGCGCGGATGAAACGAGCGAGTCCTGCGAGGGAGCCTGCCAACTCCAGTAAAACTGTGAAAAGAAAAGCATTAGTCCATCAGTCAGATCTTTTACAGCAGCCTTCAATCTGCCCGCTCCCTCACGCCCAGAGCCAGTTATTACATTTCACTCACGTTCGCCTTTTTTTTGCAGAAGCGCTAATTGAATGCATCCAATATTCAGGAAAGAGACCTACCTACCATGCCAACATGACCTTGGTTACCGTTTCCTTTAGCGAGCGAGATGCTTTCTGTGGAAGTCTAAGGTCGGGACTGCTGTGTCATCGCTCCGGATTCACGATGGTCAACCCGAGGCGTCCAATTTGCTAAGACGTGTTTGGGTAGCGAACAACGTGGATTCATTTTTCTGGCTTAGCAAGCGATCATGGAGGCAGGGGGAGAGAAGAGGAGGAGGGTGGCTCCTTTGGGATAGCAATCTGAGGATGGTGCAGAAATTTGTCAGCCCTCCAAGCTGACACCCTTATCCAAGTCATCTTCTCTCTCAGGATGGTGATATATGACTAAGGTGACCGTGATCATTACTCACAGACCGGTCTTCTTCTTCCTCTTCTTCGTCTTCTCTCCCTTGGCATGCCTCCCTCCCTGGGTCTGATCAAGTGTGTTCTATTATCCTGCAGTAGTGATTTGTGGAGGTCTGAGGCACATTGCGTCTGAAGGACGCCGCGTTGCGGAGCCTTCCAAAACAATATCATAACCCGCGTCCATTAGCCATATGGGTTCCATTCCCCAGATTTGCTTCATGCAATTTTGGCGCACCCCCCCTCCACACACACACACATACACACACACACACACACACACACACAGCGGAGCCACAGAGCAAGCCGAGGATTCATTTAATTAGAGGATGTTTTGCTCTTCTGGTTTCTGCACCTTTCGCGAAGAGGCTTGTTTCCAATTGATACATTTCCAGTCGTGAGGATAAAGGCTGCAGCTGAGAATCATTCACATAACTGTACCGCTGGGCGATGAAATAATCTCAAATTTACCCTATAAGATCGTCCACGATAACAAAGTGATTCAATTCATGGGATTTATTTTTCGATAGTTATTTTTGGATCTGTTTTCTTCTGCGTTACAAAAAACACAAGACGAACAGGCTAAATGCTGTAGGCTCCATCATATTCTGCTGCGGCTGTAAAACGGCGTCATAACGACTTACTAAATGAATCCTTTCACTGTCATCATGTGTCTTATCATATTTGGAAAAGCTAGAGGAGCCGCACGGTTGGACAATTTTATTATTGGTCATCATAAATAATACATTAATAAGTCAGTTGATTGAAACAATAAATTATATTATTTATATATACCTTAACAGTGGAGTAAGCATGAAATCATCAGGAGTGCGAACCACGTCGTGCGCTTGTATGCTTGTATTAGCATCCTCGAGCACATGGATGCACCCACTCCCACAACCATTGCTCCACAGCAAAGCTAGTGGTCAAAACACAGTGTGCCTGTAAGTTTTTACAAATCATTTTTGCTGTGGATTTTCAAGAATTTTCAACATGAAAGACTATTTTTGTAAAGCAGATTATTTATAAATATCTGTTCTGAGTAATCCTCATTTCATAATGTAATGTAACATTTACCTTCTTAAAATGAAGCTACTGACACCATTTAAAGATGTGTGTAGCAGGTGGCTACATATTACACATTGTACCTTTAACATTAACTTAACAAAGCAAGGGGCCAAGAATAGATCCTTGCGGTACCCCTTGAGGAAGCTTTTTGACATGTAGTCATGAATAGATACAAATTGCTCTGTGTAAAGTATATAGCTAACAAACCATCTTTAATTTACTGAGTTTGAAGCTAGCATTATATAATCAAGTGTATCAAAATGCTTTCGAGAAGTACAAAAGTACACCAAGGGAAAATTTCAGAGGGGATACTCTGGAATTTAGTTTTTCACTGATATTTTTCAATAATGCGTTGAACATTATTTTATTAATAGTTACAGGATGAGAAATGA